ATATATATAATTTTTTTGGATAAAGGAGGGCGGCACCTTCGAAAAAAAAAATTATTATTATTAATTAGAAATAAAATAAATAAGTACAATTGCAGGCTGGGGATTCCCACCTATGGAAAGGAAAAGCTTTGGGACAAATCCCAAAAGCCAAAAGAAAATCTTCGATAAAGTCCCAATATTTTGGGTCAGTTCACGGTTTAATCCCAAATTAATATTTTTTTTCCTAAAAAAGAAAAAATGCCAGCTAAAACTTCGAAAAAAACTCTATTTGGCCGGTTTCGCAAATTTATCCGGTATCCTGTCTTTTTTCGTTAATTTAGTCAAAATATTAGTACTTTTTTGTAGATTACCGTATTTTTAATCAATAGCCAATATTATGACTTTCTGAAAGATTAACCTTGAATTAATGTATATTATTACTACAAAGCATTTATAAACACAAAACATTGTTTTTATTATAACAAAGTAAAAGTTGTAGCTGTTTATTTCTAGGAATGGAAAGGTGGACAATGTACTCCCACCATATTGCTTATTGACCATTTCAAACTCTTCACATTCCTCTTATGTATCGTTATAGGTGTAATGGTGAGAAGCACTATGTGGGTGTTCCTCTTATGTTCTTTAACCTAACTACCACCTAACCTCCATACCTTACCTGACAACAACCATCGGCTAACACACATCCATCGATAATCAAAGGTGAACTTTGAATGACAATTTAAATAAATAATCACTCTTAACTCATTTCAATTTAAATGTCATTCAAGATTAACTTTTCACACTCGGTGGATGTGTATGATATGATGGTTGTTACCAGGTAGGACATGGAGGCTGGGTGGTAGTTATGTTAAAGAACATAAAAGGAACACGAACATCAAAGAAACACCCACATAGTACATCTCACAATAACACTCACAACGATACATAAAAGAAACATAGAGAACTTGAAGTTATCAACAAGCAATATAAACGGGGAACTTAGTTCACTTTTCTATTCCTAGAAATTAAAAACAATTGTATTGATGGACTAGGAAAGTTATGATATTTTTCCTTCCTTTTAAGTCATGCATGTTATCTTGGTCCTTTAGGCCATTTTGGTGTATTAAAGTTTAGATCTAGAATGATTGGGGCATTATTATGAATAAAGCTGGAAACTTTATCCCTCTAGACATCTTATTGATTCAGATCTGGAAGTGGGAGACTTGGACTTAATGGATTAAGTTTAGAAAGATGCATTTTTGGGTCCCTTTGAGACTTAAAGTCTAGATTTTGGTGGTTTGGACATTCCTAATGGATAAAGTTAGAAACTTTATCCATTAAGACCTTGGAAAGGATCAAATCTGAGCTTTGGAGCTCTTGAAATCAGAAGGAATTGGATTAAGCTTGTTTGAGTTGTTCAGACCAATCCCCAATGCATGACCTTAGGCTGCCACGACATGGCGACTGGGGAATTAGCGTCTGTTTTGGCATTTTGTGCCCACAACATGTCCAAGGAAGGCCACGACGTGGAGGGCTACTGATTGGCAATTTTGACTTTGACTTTGACCGTTGACTTTTTAACCAGTTTGACTTTTGGTTAAACTTGAGTAGAATTGAGCATTTGGCTAAAGATTGGTTTCCGATTGGCTTTAGGAAGCCTTGGTTGGTTGTTTTGTTGTTGGGCTTCTGTTGAGTAATTCAAGTGAGTCTCTTCACTGTACTCGTGGGTCGATGACACCAATATCGGCCCACTAAATTATGTTTGTAGGATGATAGTTGTCTTTGTGACACTTTCTTATATGTATGATGTGTTTGATTGTCTTTGTGACTCTTGCTGATATGATTATATGTTTTATGTATTTGGTGTTGATACGGATTCGACATAGCTACGTGATGTTATATAGAGTCATTATGGACTCGAGGTTGATACGGACCCGGAGGTTGATACGGACCCAACACAACTACGTGTTGTTATATAGAGTCATTATGGACTCGGGGTTGATACAGACCCGACGCAGCTATGTGTTGTTATATACATATATGTTGTATGTGGTATTTTGGGGGACTCACTAAGCTTTGTGCTTACGGTTTATGTTTAAAATGTTTTCAGGTACATTTGGTCTCAAAGGAAGAGTCCGACTTGATCACACTGCATCCTTTGGAGATTTATTCTGCATTGATTGTTTATGATTTTACTCTGATGTATTGAGAATATTGTTACTAAGATTATCTTCTGGATTAATGAATGAATGCTATTGAATTAATAAAAATGAAATTTTTACTCGGTATTTTTGGGACGTTACATACCTGATGTGTGAGTTGTTGGGTGTTAGCTGCTATTCACAAGGTGAGTCTTCTCACTATACTTGCATGTGTGGTAGTATATGTTGATCAGTTGGGTCGTAGTTGTTGATTATTGTTGTATGTGAACTGATTTGTTGATAACTCGTGGGCTGCTGTAAGTCCATAGGACTGCTAATAGTCCCTAAGGTTGCTGATATGCCATGAGGTGTGCTATTAATCCACAGGGTGTGTTGTTAGCCCACGGGGACTGTTGATAACCCATAATTGTTATATTGTGTGATGTATGTGATATTCGGGACTGCTGATAGTTCCAGGGCTGTTATTATATGTTGTGTTGTATAAGATATTTTGAGGAACTCACTAAGCTTTGTGCTTACATTCGTGGATTAATTATTTTTCAGGTATTATCGGATTACGAAGGCGGGACTTTACACATACATCAATAGATTCAGGATTGAGATTCCGCATTGTTTTCTTATAAACTCTGATTTCTAAATATTGGTTTATGAACAAA